TACTACTCTGCTACCGGTCTTGGATCCCTTAGAGGCCCTAAGACTTCCAGAGCTTTACCGGGGCACCTGCTGGTCTCAGACTACCTTTATGGAGACTCCTGAGAAGCTGTTCACGGCAGTGTTTGAGGACAATATACCCGTTAGAGGAGACTTTTATTATGATGCGGGCCACTCTTTGTAGATAGGACCATACGAAGATATCCTGTTTCCCTCCAAACACATCCCATGTTTGTGGAGCATTTTGAGCTCATGCTGCATTGGTGAGTAAGTGTATGTCTCCTGCCTTATATCCTGTATGAGTCTTCTGTCAGTAAACATGCATAGGACACTTTACAACAAATGTTGGGTTGGAGAACAGGCATGCAACAAGTGGTGGAAAACTTAATGGATATGCTACTGATGGCTTGGTGCAAGATACCACAGCATAACTTTACAGGTCTACTGGAGTCCATGCCTTGACAGGTTAGGGCTGTTTTGGTGGCAAAAGGGGGATCTATTCAATATTAGGCGGTTACCCATAATGTTAGGGCTGATCGTTTTATATAGCAGTAACAGAACTGGGAACAAACTTGATCACCAGTACAAATAGAGTGGATGAATCTCCCTAGTCTCTAGTGTAGGCACAGCCAGCAATAAAAACATGAAAGGACTTCTAACCCTTCCCTGCTCCATCCAAAATAAAAATATTTTAGATACAATTTAAAGCCCATATCAAGGTTGCTCCCCCTCTTTTTTTTTCCATCTTTTTATACATTCTTATTTTCCAGTGCTTAGCAATCCAGTCACATGACGCCATGGGTCCTCTTCTCCCCCAGTTGGTGGGTCTTAGCACCATTCCCTGTAACATTAGTTTTAGGCACCCTGGGTTTGATTTACTAAATGAAAAAAGGCTGTTCACTGTGCAAGGGAATTTGCCCTTCGCTTAGTGAATTTGGTGAATATTTGTTTTGCAAAGACTACGCAACTACATGCAAGGACAATAACAAAGACAGTATTTATACTTGTACTTGATTAGATGATTATAGTCTGCAGAACCTCACCTCATTCACTAAGCTGGGGAAAATTACCTTGCAAGGTGAACAGTCTTTAGTAAATTAAAGGAGAGCTATGAGCTGAGTGATTTCCACTCATCTTCATAGTTGGAGCCCATGTGTGACAATGAAACTGTCACACATCGGGTCTCTATAGATCGGGAAGTGAATACATGCCATTGCTTGCTCGCTTCCCAATCATCTACCTGCAGGGAGTGGTGTCTGTCAGTCACCGCTCCTCACAGGGATTCCCCCCTCCCATCTCCGATCCTCTACCACTGAATGGAGGATCGGACATGGGAGGGGTGGGCACAGCTAGCTCTGCCTCTAGATAGGCAGAGCCTGCTGTCAATCAGCCAGTGGAGTGGATCTCGACATAATCGTCCCGGCTGCGGCCCTCTCAGTATATAACTCGCAATAGCTCGCTATATACTGAGCCTTTGGTCATGGGAGGAGGTTAGTATATGTCCTCCCTTGACCCTTAAGAGAACTATGGGGTAAAAAGGTTGCCCCATAGTTTTCTTTTAACTGTCCTGGGTTCACAGGAAGTGGGTTGAATGTTGCTTGATGTTATTAACCCAGGAGAGGCATGGTGTTGGACCTCATAGCAGTGAGTCTGCAGATGACATTCTTGCAAGCTGCTTAAAAAAATATGTAAAAATATTTTTTGAAAATGTTATCAAGCTGGAGTTGGGCTTTAATATATTCGATCAGGCCACAAATTTGCTGTCCCATTGTGTCAAATGTCCAGATTTGTAATATGGCTTCATAATTCAATTACAATTGGATTTGCACTGTTGGTTTTGGGAGTATCTGCATGTGAAGATGAAACATTATTTCCCTACATGTCGGTACATCAGCAGTCAAGTGTTGATGGGAGATAATTCCAGAATAAATGCTGTAATTGAAAGGCCTTCTAAAAATGTCTCTTTCTCTATGCTTTTTGTCTTCCGTTTCTCTTCTGTTTTCCTGTCTGGAGCGGGTTACTGACCTATCGTGCTTGCGGCTTGCCGTATTTTCCCAAACAAAATAAATATTGGATTAAGAGCTGCTTAGCTCCTTCTGCCTGAGCCAATTATGTTGTCCTTCTTTTCTCTGGCTCTGGGACAAAATAGAAGTGATTGGCATTTCAGGTTGTAATTACAATTAAAGTTGATTCTTTTTGTAAGGATTCTGCTGCCAACATTCTAGAGAGAGAATTGTTTTGTTTGAAGTATTTGGTCGGGTTCCCACTTTACAGAAGAAGTGAGCTAATGTTATTCAACCTCCATGGGTGATATTGCAATTAATTTATTTTGGTTGCCTAATCAAGTAAAACTGCAGTTATATTAATAAGCAAGTTAACGAAATGCCAAATATTGTTTTAAGGATATCACAACTGTGCAGAAAGTGTTTCTGAAGGGTTCAGATTAACACTGTTGAACTACAGCACCCAATATACTTCCCACTGCATTGGTCTTTTCTCACTCATTTCAATGGGGTCATCCATGAATCGAAATACCTAAAGCAGAATCTTCCTTTATTATTAACAAGAGATGTTTCCAATATATAAAAGTGAAGTGCACATAATTTTATTCTCTACCTAATCTTATTATGTAATAGTTATCATAATGAGGTAAACATAATATGATAACTTAAAGTGGACATGGCATTACAAATAGTTTGCATGATAAGTGCATGCATGTGTAATTATAACACAGGCTTGCACTGCATGATAAAGCAAAGAGTGGGTGGACAGGGATGGACAGACGGTATTGTGGCAGGAGATGGACAACATGGTGTAGTTTGTGAAGAGATCAGTATGGAGCACACAGGTTTGGGTGGGAAACAGGGGGTTGAAGTTTGCATCTGTATTGCATTGCAATGCATTGAAGTAATATTCAATACTTCTTAATAAGGAGAAGCATGTGGCTCACTCTCTTCTAAGCTATAACTGGCTACTTGTAGCATATACAGGGGATTTTCTTTCACTTCCAGTGTCTGATGAAAGTGATGCGGGAGGTAAAGGAAGATAAGTGTAAACTACTAAGGAGGTCTGCATTAAAGTGAACCTGTTGCATTGCCCTTTATGGGTCCACTTCAAGTCCATGTATACTAAAGAACTGGTGGTCAAGCATTGTAATTTTTTCTGGGCACGTAATCCACAATCTCAGATTTATTTGAAGGTAGAGGTTTAGGCTCCTGGTCTGGTATTACCTGGGGAGATATGCATAGGTGAGGACCCTGCAGTGTTCTTGCTTCCATAGAGGTCACCTTTAAAGTGACATTAAACCCTCAGATTTTTTAACATAAACCAATACTGTAATGTGTGCCTTACTGTAATCCATGGTTCTTTCCCTTCTCTTTGCTGCTCTTCCTTTTAAATCCTAATGTCTTCTCATGCTTGGGAAGAACTTCCCTTTGCAGCTCAGGGCCTCTTCCTGTAGTGCTGGCTCAGGTTACAAACCTATACAAACCTATGCACAGACACCATGTATCCATTCCTGAGACAAGGCAGTCTGCTGCAAAACAGAAGTTCTGCCCAGCAAGAGAAGAGATACAGATTTAAAAGGAAGAGCAGCAAAGAGAAGGGAAACAACCATGTATTACAGTAAGGCACACATTACAGTATTGTTTTATGTTAAAAAAATCTGAGGGTTTAATGTCACTTTAAGATATGTTACCCATCACTAAACCACTACACCAGAGTTATTGATATCTTGTTTTTGAGGATTATTACAGAGAAAATTAGAGACCGTGCCCTGTTATCAGATCTGATCATGATAATTGTCATGAGCAATGCATAAAGTATTCTAAAGACCACATCTCTTATTTTAAAAAAAAAGGGTTTCTTTTCCATAGATCTTCCACAGAATGGAAAAAGTGTTGATGCTCATCTTCTCTTCAAGATGAGCCTAATTGAATCATGACAATTTTTTGTTCCTCAGACTGAAACCGCGTTCATCTGGTCTCACTTTCTTACACAGAGTTACTGTTGTGTCTATATATTTCTTCCCTCAAACCTTTTTCCCTTTAAAAACCTTATTATGTATCTCTAGATTAAATGTATGAGTGTGTGGAAAATACATATAATTAGGATTCTTTCTTCAAATGATGGAATCCTATTATGGAAGCAAGACATGCACTGAATACAAGTCTATGCTTTTTTCTTTTTAAATACGCTGACATTTAGATTGGGGGGAGCAGATATTATAATGGAAACAAGGATTGTGAAATATGTTTAATTCGTGCAAATTTTAGCTACTAAAATGTTAATTGTATCTAAGCCAAAACTTTTTGTATTATTTTTATGAATAACTGGTGATGAACTAGAAGCCTTGCCAGGTTTCTATTACCATCTTTGTCCCCACTGGGGAGATTTACCTCTCTATTTGTCCTGGTGACCTTTGTCACAGGGACTTAAATGTCACAGGGACTTAAAGCAAGGGAATATCCACAATTTTGGGTTGGTGCTGCAGCAGGAATAGAGAGGAAGTCTTTCAGTTGGGACTTTTGTTGCTGTGACAACACTTCTCTTTCTCTTTGTAGTGATTTGCTGTTACTTCCTGTTGCATCAGCAAGATAGTAAGTGAATGAAAATCACCCCTGGTGGCAAAAAAAAAACCTTACAGGGATTTTAACTATCCTAACTGGAGAAATGTTTTGGCATGTGTATTTTAATTCAAATTTTGGGCATGTATTAATTATATCACTGCATATTTATAATGAATAAGATAGTATGTCTCAGTTACAACAAAAATATTATAGATACATAGATAGATTTAAATTTTTTGGAGGCAGGAAGTGAAGCCTGTCTAAAGAAATGTCTGCCTTCTTTGGATTTAAAGCATTAAAGTAGCCATTACAGATATTCAGTTCCATTCAATAATGATTCTTCCACATGATCAGATAGAGACCCTCAGCTGAAGGAAGCAGATTTGTGTCATTGGAGTTCTGTCTCTATTAATCCTGTCCTTTATTTCTTTGTAGGCCTTGCTGTCCGTACATGACACAGTGGCTCAGAAGAGCTATGACCCAGTCCTCCCTCCCATGCCGGAAGACATTGATGATGATGAAGATTCAGTGAAAATTATCCGGCTTGTGAAGAACAGAGAACCGCTGGTGAGACATGCTAACTCCTTTTAAATATTATTTTGAAGCTTCTTTCTCCAAGTGTCTGAAAGAACCATTGACTGTACTCTTCTGTTCAACCAGGTTCTTCTTTTCATTCTTAGTCCTGCCATGGATGATAGTGAAAAACGAGATTGGTTACTATGAACTTGGCATTTCTTTTTAAAAATATTGGCATATGTAGTTTATGTATATACATTTAAGTCACCATCAAATCCCATACCAGTGGAGACCCCTCCTATACACCTGGTGCTGGGACATGGGTTAGATTTGGAGGATTCCAGTACTTCGTTTACCCAATATTTTGTGTGTCGTCGGCGTGTACGTACCTGCATACTAGACATGCATATTTGTATGTATGTGCATATGCTGGGGACAGGAATCCCTTTAATTTTTTAAAATGACATTTCATTATTTTTGCAGAATTGCTATCACACACCCCCCCTACATTCTGCCTTAGTAGATCAATTAGTTACTTCACTTGATCTGCAGTTTACCTGGCCAAAGCATGCCAGCATCTGACAGCTGCAAACCCGAAAGTACTGAGAGCAGGACACTTCTGGATTCACACTACCACAGAGGAATTGGGTGTGAAATCTTTCCTCCAGTAGCTGAATCTCAACATTGGGTATTGAATCTAACCATCCTGACACATTGTTTGTGGTCCTGGGCTTGTTGCTGGGAGAACCCACTCATACAAGTGATTGGGCACTTTTTTATTTTTTTTCCTCTGGTGTTATATGGTCAGGGCTTAGAATAAACCTTTTTAGATTTCTCAGCATAGATTCTTTCTGTTTCCAACCCACACACCTTCAAGGCGAGCAGTCCTGCTCTTGGCATAATGTCACTCCAAAACACAAGCACTGGGTTGCACGTCTGTGAATGGGGCCTTAAAGTGAACCTGTCTACAGGGTTTAAACTACACAAAGCCCAAACTGTAAAAGAATATGCTGTATACTTACCTTCCTGTGGCCTTTGTCTTCACACCCTGCCACTTTGCTAAACCCCGGCCGCTGCAGGTATCTGGCCACATGGGTGTGTTGAATGTCTGCATCCCTTCCCCTCCCACAAATCTCTATTGGTCATTGAAGCTGCACATCACATTACAACCAGTGGAAAGTTGCACAAGGGGGTGGAACTGTTCAAAACATTTACAGGAAAATTCAAGACTTGCATATTAGATTTTCCCATGTTTTGTGGCTCTTGAGCTGTAATAAGCTATGTGAATGTGGACCTGGCTCCATCGAAATGTTGACAATAAAACGCTGATTCTTTGACTTGTCTCCACTGCAACACCTCTAAGTACCTATATATCAGTGACGCGCTGTACTGTTGGTGCTGGGTGAGGCATTCCCCCAGCATGCCCCACCCCCAGGCTGCAGAAGCCTCGTCCCCAGCCCGCCGAAGCCCCACCTGCATCATGATGAAGCCCCACCCCCTCAACCCAGTCACCAAGCTAGTTTGAAAAAGGGAGGGAGGAGACAGGCAGGAGCCCCCCTGTCCCTCACTTTCTCGTCACTGGTGAGGCATCGATATCGATGCCTCACCAGTGACCTCAGTGTTTTTCTGTTTTTTGATTGTACAGCTTGGACCAATGGCACTTTGCCATTGGTCCAAACCATCCACAGAGCTTACACCTCTAACAAACAGTAGAGGCTGTGACAGCTCTTGCCTCACTAGTTAGGTTACACAAGCAGTGGGGAAGCCCGCTGCTGCGTAACCTAACTACCTGTCAAAAGCCGGATGCAGCACCACCTGTAATTAACATCCAGTGCTCCGTCCATGACAGGTTACAAAGTGGGGAGGCTTTCCCTGCTGTGTAACCTGTTACCAGCCGCTCTGAATGAAGAAAAAGCTGTCTGCTTCAGACTTGAAGCTGACAGCTTTTTCCTCCATAATACTAGGTGAGGCTATGCCTCAGCTGCCTCCCCTTACAGCACATCCCTACTATATATCTACTTTGGATTTGTGTCGATATTTTTGGGAATGTGCACCAGGGCATTTACCGTATGTATAGAGTGTGGTGGCTACGTCTGGGACTGTTGAATGTGGACCTGTAAAACATTGCTAATACTTATTTCTTGTCCACTCTTTACAACTTTAGTGAAATTGTTTTTTTGGAATATCCACCTTATTATACCCCCTCCTGTGTTATGTATCATGTCACATAAACACAAGGTACATAGATTTATTGTCATACTGTAACTCACTTGTATTATTTAGTTAGCAGAGTCATAAAATGAAGTGTCCATGTCCCGTTTGTAACCTATTCAGCTGCATGATTGATAATGGTTATTGTAAAAGCCGGTAGGATGCCTGCTGAGCAGAGTAGGTGTATTGTGCCGCAAAATCCAGGACCAAAGCCTGCTCTGCCCTGGATAGTCATCAGCAGAAAGACGATAGCTGCTCAGGGATATCTGGAAAACAAGAAGAGCAAAAATCAAGAGTATAATATTCTCAGTAAACGCATTTCCGCTTTACAACTCAGCCTCCCAGTGCATCTCCAGGAAGCATGAGAACTCCACTCTGTTGTATAAGCAGCACACTGCTTTAAAGGTTCATGTTTAACACAAATGAGAAATAAAGCTTGACATGCACACAGGCCTACCTGCCCATTTGTTCTTGTGGGAAAACCTATTGCTAAGACACAAGAAATACTAAACAAGTTATATGGTCTCAGTACTAAAAAAATCATCAAAAATAACATTCTTCATACTTCTTCATACGTTTCCTGTTGATGTGAGCTGCACTGTGTGTGACTGACAGGTATGATTAGATTAGTGTGGTCTCCAACAGCAATTTCTGTGCACATAACGGCTTCTGTGTACAGTAGTAGCTGCCAAACCAGCAAAGTTTGAAAAACATGAGGACCTGAATGGCACAGGCAACTGAAAAAGCATCAAAAGGAAAATGAGGGTAATTATTAAAAGTGGGCAAGCAAAGAATAAATGGGAAATATGTGAAAGATAGAAAATGTGATACTTACACATTAAATATAGCAAGGGGCAGACTGAGTACTCAACTTAAAATGTAGGTAATAGAAAAAAAAAATGAGTCCATGCTGCTAACTTCCTGTTTGAGCTGACAACACAGAACCCCTACTGCACCGACATTCAGAGCAGCGTCAGCCCTGCCTGCTGGTCTGCAGAACTACACTTCACCCCAACCCTTTCTGTCCTACTGCATACATAGTTGCATAGTATTTGAGGTTGAATAAAGACACGGGTCCATCAAGTTCAACCTATTGCGTGTGTGTATGTGATTCTGCATGTGTATGCGTGTGTAGGAGTCCCTGTGGGATCTTTTATTTTTTTTTAAGTGTACCTGTACCCCTGTATGTTACGGTCTCTGAGGAAATTGTCCAAAGGCTTTTTGAATGATTCAACACTCCCAGCTGATACCACTGCTTGTGGCACCGAGTTCCAGACCCTAACCACTCTAACTGAGAAGAAGCCCCCACGCCCCTTGTGCTTAAATCTTTTCTCCACCAATTTTAGGTTGTGGCCTCTAGTCTTTGTTATATGCATACGTTGACTTCTTTCCCTGAAAAGCAGTGCTGCTGCCTTAAATCAAGACCCTGCCCGGAACCTGTGTGTAGGAAAAGGGCTCTTGGTAGATGTAGTTCTGGGTGCATGTCTATGCCAATAGGAACTGAGCTCCACGGCAACTGCAATAATTTAACAAGCCTGATTATGTCACAGGGCCTTTTTAGGGATTTTTCTCTGCAGGAACAAGGTAAAAGTAAATATGAATGTTGGGACATGGTGCAAGCTGGAGAGGGAGATTTGGGGGTTAAAAATTGTTAATACACTTTAACAATTCATTTTAATGGTTTGCTTGTAACTGTGTTTATATGTGTATTATCCTTTTCTATTTTTGTACAGATTTATGATGGTAATTGGTACATTTTGTTTGTCTCTGCTTCCTTGTTTCAATAAATGTAGGATAAAAAAAAAAAAAATACACACTAACAAGAACTGTTTAAGTCGGGGGTAGCAAACCTCCGGCCCTCCAGCTGTGGTGAAACTACAAATCCCATGATGCATCTCTCTTCGGAAGTCATGTCTGTGACTGTGAGAATCTTGCAATGCCTCATGGGATTTGTAGTTCCATCACAGCTGGAGGGCCGGAGGTTTGCTACCCCTGGTTTAAGTGCTATGATCAAGATTTTAAGTACAGAATGAACAGGCTGCTTGTAATCTGATCCCAAAGCTTCTCAGTTCTGCCTTCCATGTGACTCATATCTTTCTATGGCCTACGTTGTCTTTTCACAGCTTCCACCTTCTCTCCCCAGCCTGCAGCAAATATTGTGGAATATGAGCTCATTGATTAGTAGACATGGAAAATTGTGTGAAAAAGGGACACTGATGAGTGAAACGTACATCTCTGGCCCTTTATATTAACCCTTAGCATTCTCCTGAGTTTTTGTTTTTTTTTACATTTTGCCTACACCAGCCCTTTAATTGCTGCTCTTATTTTATAGCCCAGCGAACATCCTGGAAATTTTATACGTGTTCTGTAGAATATTTGTTTTTGCAAGGAGGAAGTGAGAAGTGATGTCTGCAAAGTCACTTTTGGAGCAGCGTAATGTTGTACACAGAAGGGAGAATGCAGCGTCTCAGTGAGTCATACAGTGAGAGCTTGTCTCTAGATAGACATCTTTGGCGTCGGACAGCGCGAAACCAGCTCTGCTATTTACCGAGGGGGGATTTTTTCAGCTCCGGGGTATAGTTAAATGTTGTCTGTGCAGAAGCCACGCAAAGAGAAGTTTTGTGTTTAAAGTTATGAGGATTTTTTGTGTCCCTGATGCATAAAACCAGCACAGCAGTTCTCTGATAATTCATCACTGTAATTGGGTTTCCTCGCCAGAGGAAGCTAAACATGGAAAACATCAGGCGTGTTTTTGGAGAAAATGCCTGAAAACAACGTTGGTCATTTAATTTTGAACACGTTTCCCTTGATTTCGCCGAATATTCTTGGCCTTCATCACACCAAAAGTCAAAGCTGAAAGGTAGCCTGTGGTTACATTTAACCCTTTAAGGGCCGTATTGAATTATTGATCCCGAGACCACATTTATCAGTGTCAGTATATGTCTATTAACTTACTAATAAATTTATGTCTACAGTATTTGTCTACCTAAATGATTGTCACGTACCCCGTGGAGCCTAGGTTGGCAAGGGGGTTTCTCATCACTTCTTGTCCAGAACCCTTGCAAGTGGCAACAGGGGATCTAAGGACACAGAGTGGCAGGAGTGCTAGTATTTACAGATCTGTTAAGGCTGGCAGGTGCATGTAGATCTCTGGACAGGAACCAGACACACAAACACGGGGGTATCAGAGCGAGAAACATGAACAGGATACAAACGCAGGTCGGAAACAGATGAGTTGCAGAGGTTTCAAATCAGGAGATATGATCAGAGTTGAGAGTTCAAGCCAAGGTCGGTAACAGCCAGGCAGCAGATGTACGATATTCAGAAGACAGACTCTGAGTCCAGAGTTCAAGCCAATGTCAGTATCAGCCATGCAGCAGTGGTACCAGTTCAGGAGCTAGAATCATAGTCTAGAGCTAAAACCAGGTGGTAACAGAGGCAGAAGGCAGTAAGTTGAGTAAAGCAGGTAGGCCAAGTTCATAGCAAGTAGGTAAAGGTTCAGGAACAGGTCTCATGGCAAGCCAGGTAGAGTACATGGGGACAAAAAAGCAGGTTAGGACATAGGATAACAGAAACTAGCTGAAGACTACCTTGCAATTACTCCGTGTAGTGCTACAGCTTATATAGGATGTTTGGTGCCAACACCTGTACTGGGCATGCACACCCACCATGAGGCATGTGTGCTAATGCACACTCAGCACTTTAAGCACATGGTCATGCACCATAATATGCATACGTGCATATGACCACAATTATGTTCTTATACTGGGACTAACCAGACCTTCCTTACATAAAATTATGTTTTTATTAGGGGCATATATGGCTTTTATTTTGGTAAACTGTTTTAATAAATACCCTTACCTGTTTCTTAATAGGCTGACAAATGGACAACATTTTTTTTTTTTTAGTACTGTAACTGTATCTAACAGTTAGATTTGAAGAGCATCACATACTGTTTTCAAGCTGCAGTGGAATCTGCAGGTTGGAGAGTGCTTATTATCCAGCCTTTATGCATTCACCATGGTTGGTTGAGTTTCGATCAACAACCACTGCCATTGGTTCCAGATCATTAAAAGAGAACTATGGGGTAAATGTTTTTCCCCATAGTTCTCTTTCGGGTCACGGGAGGACATATACTAGCGTCCTCCCGTGACCCAAAGCTCAGTATATTGCCCGCGAGTGCGCAGCAACCGGGACGGATTCCGACAGTACTGTCGAGATCCACCCAGCTGCGAGTGCGACAGCTGGCTCTGCCTATCTAGAGGAAATTTCTCTCTGACCAGAAGTGCCGTTATCGGAGTATTTGGGCGAGTACTCGTACTCATCCAAATATTATTTTCCAAAAACTTACCATTGTTTACCCATCTTTAAATTACTGATTTGCTATAGCAGAAGAGTGGTGGTAAGAGAGACATTAAGTTTGACAGACTATCTATTGTAATTCAAGAAAGGAACTTACAGACACCAGGGTGCTGCTTTTCCACACTATTGGTACTTTAGAAATATTTTCGGTCGGGCCAACTTTGTGTTAAAGTGAACCTGTTCTTTACCTGTGCAGGGCAAAGCAGGTTTATTTTAATGGCAGAAGCACATACCTTTCCTTTGCTCCATTTGGCCCAGTGAACAGGGTGGTGGGAAAGTAAAGGGTATGGGATTCTGATTTTTATATACAGGTGAAACTCGAATAATTAGAATATCGTGCAAAGTTCATTTATTTCACTAATGCAACTTAAAAGGTGAAACTAATATATGAGAAAGACTCATTACATGCAAAGCAACATAATTCAAGCCGTGATTTGTTATAATTGTGATGATTATGGCTTACAGCTCATGAAAACCCCAAGAACCCCAAATCCACAACCTCAAAAAAGTAGATTATTACATGCAATCAATAAAACAAGGATTGTACATAGAACAATATCGGACCTCTGAAAAGTACAAGCATGCATATGTACTCAGTACTTGGTTTGGGCCCCTTTTGCAGAACTTACTGCAATTACTTTTGCACGATATTCTAATTATTCGAGTTTCACCTGTATATATACCTTCAGCCCAGATGTCTTTTGGCTGGCAATGTAATATCACAGGTCCTCCCTTTGTCCAGTAGTGGGAAATTCTTACTACTGCACAGAATAGAATCACACATCACTATTGTGCAGCATTAATGTGACCTCAGACTGATGTGATAATGAACCTCCAGGGGACATATCCATGCTGCCCTGGGCTTACCGAAAGTGTAACAGGGGGACAGTGCTAGAGAGAAGCTAAATATTAAACAAAACATTTTGGATAAGGGGGTGGGTCACGTAAATAAATTGGGTACTATTTATACAAATTGGGTAATATTTATGCATCCCTCATATAGGGTTTGAGAATTGAAAAGAATGAGGGTTAGCCAACAGAGACAAATCGGGTCCTCCAACCCCTTCCCTTTCTCCTCCCCTTCCTATAGGTCAGAAAATGAGATGAGGATTAGTTACAGACAAGAAATATATTTGCGCAATTGAGTGGTAGAGTAAAAGGAGAAAAAATAAGACCCTTCATTTACAATACCCTCTTTGGGCTGTTATAGGATAAGAAACCACTAAAGTAGAGGTGTAGATGGATTTACGTAGCTGGTAATAAGTATTTTAATATTAAATAAAAAGGTTACATTTTAATGGTCAGGTCTTGATGCCTCGGCCGCTCATATAATTAGCAAATAATTGTATTATTTTCCGATGATTTTTAAAACTACAAAACATTTTACTTAAAATAAAATGTAACTTGTTTGGCCAGTGACTTTATGTAGAAGATCGGTATGTACTGATTGTGTTTAAAATGTATTATTAAAATAAGGCTTTATGTAATATTTTAACGTTGTGTATATTTTGTGTGATGTTCAGAAAAATCTGTTTAAGTGGTCTGTAATAATCTGTTTTATAATGTTACAAGCTGTTCTCTGTTTGTTGTGAGAAAATGTTGTGATATCTTGTTAACTATGATAAAGAGCACCTTGTGTTGTCTGAAGCAGGTGTGCTGCCCTGGAACTCGAGTACACTGGTCTCGCCCCCAGAGTCCCCTCGAGACTTTTGGGTGGTTTTCATTCTCCAGCTGTTACTAAAAGCTTCTACTGTAAAGGCTTCTTCATACCAAATGCAGACCAGATATGCTTGAGTTTCTGCACATGCAGTGGAATGTGTTATACTGCGGTTTTTGACGCGTTTTTGATGCGTTAAGGGCCGTTTTTAGTTAAAACAAAAATGTTTTGTTTTTTTCTTTAGTTTAGAATGGGCTTTCAGTGCATTCCAGGGCGTTTGCATGTGTTTTTGATGCGTTTGCATGCATTTTTGATGCGTTTGCATGCGTTCCAGAGCAGGTAAAATAGGGCTTGCTGTAGTTTTTTTACATGCTCTGGAACTGGACGCTGCGGTGTGAACTAGAGCCCAAAATACCATTGGAATACATTGGGCGCCGTTTTGATCCGGTGTGTAACTGATCTGCTCCTGGAACGCCCTTGGTGTGAACAAGCCCTCAGAGTTGGTTGGACTGACTCCTTATTTATTAAAAAAAAGTAGGCACTTGGTATCGAAGTCTACAAGAAACTGTTGGATGTCTTAATCATTTATCTGCTTTCCGAAATGTTTGCTTTCCTAATTCTAACAATTCCTTGATGTTTTAGGGTGCTACAATAAAGAGAGATGAGAACACAGGAGCCATTGTTGTGGCCAGGATAATGCGAGGTGGAGCTGCTGACAGAAGCGGTGAGATGCATACCCCGTAGAATTACATAGAATGTATGGACTTTGGAAAAATAGAGAATGTAAACACAGTAACTTTCTATCCTGGGATCTTTTTTGTCAATTACTTTATTTTAGTGTATTTTAAGTTGTGACATATTTTGAGTAATTCTTCCAGTGTATAACATGACATTGTAGATCCTAGCTCTGTTATTTTTGTTATTGTATTAAATATGTTAATCTGTCCACTAGGCAGAGCTCTTAGTGGCTCAGTGCCGTTGTTCTGGCTATTTCTCATCGGCCCCTTTGACACAGCCAGTCTGATCGGGTCCACCTGTCAGTCTTTCAAGCAGGCCCAATCGGATGACCAATGTTAGTTTATGGGCAAACATGTGTAAATGGACGGGCATCCATTTACACACGGTTCCCCCCCCGACTCCGGCCAGATCCAGGAAAAAGAAACTGATCAGAGATCTTTTTTGCCGGACCTGATCATGCTGGATCCGTGGTAATCTGATGTAAATGGACAAATGACAGATCACCTCCTGATCAGCCCGTGTGAAAGGGACCTGATCAGCTGTTGATATCAGTGACATAGAGCTGCATTGTTTTAGTGAGTCAGCCAACTCATGTTTTAATTGTGTAAAGGAGTGTTAAACAAAACCATTGTGTAGTATTGCGAAGCAGGGAGCTGAAGTTGCATATGTAATAAGCAAATATGGCTGCCTCATGTATATTTTTAAATGACAAATTATTTATATAAACAAGGAATGTAAACCTAATAAGATAATTTCCATCAAGCTGATCTATTTTATATGTATATCTTAAAACAAATGAAGACACTGTACATATTCCTTTTAATTCATCCAGGTCTTATCCATGTGGGTGATGAATTAAGGGAAGTCAATGGAATAAGTGTAGAAGATAAAAAACCAGAAGAAATCATCTATATTTTGGTAAGTACTTTTCATTGTCTGTATTGCTTTCCTACCATGCCGTATACATTCTACAAAGCTCACCTTGTGGCCCTGGTGTATAAACATTACCTTTATTTCTGTAGTCTCATACTCCAGGACATATGTGACTGTATGCTGCCCTGGGTGCTCACAGCATTGGGCATCTGTCTTTAAGACTTAGAGTAGATTATGGAAATGGCATCATATTGGCTGCCCATCATAGCCAATCAAATAGTTCCCTTCAAGCAAAACAAGTAATCTGGAAATCATGTGTATCTGTATGCTTCTATATAACTGTTCTTACCTTTATCTTTTTACAGGCGCAGTCCCAAGGTGCAATAACATTTAAAATCATACCAACTATCAAGGAGGAATTGCAAAATAATGAAGGAAAGGTAATGTTGTAGAAGATATGTGTTTCATATGATGTAGTAATTGTAGTCTGTAGCAGTTTCTCACGGTGCCCAGACTTATTTCAGTCCATTTCACGATCCAATCTTTCATCATCAAATCGAACCTATAAATCACGCCTGTGGTTGTTTTTTGAAATCTCTTTTGGCTTCTAGAAGGCTGGGTTAAAAAAATATCTGACAGGTTGAAATTTCTTGCTATATTTGTATGATGTTGCAGCACATATAGTATTGTAAAATAAAGTATATAGCCTTTCTTCAATTTGGTTTGAGTAAACAGAACAGTCATTTGAAAATAAGATCAACCAACAGTAATCTTAGGTGTATCTCTCTTACATGGAAGGAATTGAAAGGTCGGGTCATCCAATCTAAAAATGGAAACTTTTAAAGCAAATATGTACGTTTATAAAGATGAAACTAACACTATAGCTGAGTGGAGGCACCTTCTGTGGCTCACATCTTAATTTGCATTCCTCCCATTTTCCCTCTGCACTTCGGTAGCATCCTGAAAAATCTGAATTTCTTGGTATGCAGTAAAGATGACCAATCTGCCTCCACCACCCACTGCGCATTGCTCAATGGCTGGGCAACCTGTTCTCATGCCCAAGCACTACTACATTGTGGGCTTGCTTAACTGATTTTAAACACCACTAATGCTGTAGCTGCACTGGAGGCACCTGCCAGAACTACATCCTACTTCTGCATTCCTTCCCATGTCCCCTCTGCACTTTGGTAGTTTCAGGTATAGGAAAGACATGCACACTGTCCCGGCACCCAACCCCCTTCCCTTAACCCTCAGTACAGTGCTTTGTATTTGGGCATCCTATTGGCCAAACTGCCACTTTTCCCCACCCCGCTGGTCATACCTGTTTTGGAACCAATGGGCCCCCCATGGCAGTCAAGTCCGTTCACCACATTGCAGCCCTGCACTGAGCATCTAGAATAACGTTCGCAAATGGCGAGCACTCATTGGTCAGCACAGTCACCTGATCACGGTGACCAATGAGAAACGCTTCTTGGCAAGAGTTTAAGCTTTGCTTTCCACGCACAGAGCAAGGGTATCATTCTGCAGCTGCGGGCAAAGGCTGACAGACTTTTCTACCAAGGCTATGGTTGTTTTATAAAGAAATGTAACTGTAAGACTTTGAAGATGTTTTGTTTTGATACTGCTGGAATGTATTTAGCTGATTGAAAGTGAAAGCTTAGTTGGGTTTTAAGAGGAGAAGTGATGGGGAGTCATGGGTGTCCTGATTTATTCCTACATTATATGTCTAAAGGTCTGTGGACACCTGTCTATCAGACCTATTTGAGTTTGTTAGACATCCCGTTCCAAAACCAAGGGAATTAGTATGTAGTTGCCTCCTCCCCTCTTTTTTCAGGCAGTGTTAGCCTCCACCCTTCTGGAAAGGTTTGCATTAAGATTTTGTAGTGTCTGTGGGAATTTGTGGCTATCCAGCCAAAGTATTGGTGAGGTCAGGTACACAATCGGCATTCCAATAAGCTCGTATGAGCATTGAGTTGTATTATAACTGTACTGTCTCCCTTTATTTTCTAAAGCAAGGTGCAAACTGTTGTGCTATATGAATTCTGTTGTAATAATAATTAATCTGAAAAGGTGCTCAGTAGGGCTGAGGTTAGAGTTCTGTGTAGAGTACCTCATCAAACCATGTCTTTTTGGAAAGGCCCTCCCCAAACAAAAAGGTGGGGAGTGCACAATAATCTAAAATGTCTTTGGATGCTGTAGCCTTAATAGTACCCTTCACTAGAAACACCTAAACTCAATAATTTGGAGGGTTGTATGTATGGCCTTATAGTATGCCCCCAATTTAACAATGCAGCATTTTAAAGGATCTCACCATGCAGCATTTTTCCACTTTCATATTCACTTGCCTCTCTCTGCACCCATTGCGCCTATATAGGTATCAAATGGGAGATTTTTCTTTACATGATTGTAGGAATTTAATGTCTCAGATTGAGACTGCAGAAAGTCTGGTACAGGACAGTAGAAGGGGTGGCCGTGTTGTGAGACTGGGGATATGGAGGTCAGTCAGATTAACACATTTACTCCTTTCAAACCTGCTCTATATATCACCATTTGGAATCGTTTAATATACAAATGTTGTTGGCACAATAATAAAAGGCATCAGGTATTTTCTGTTTACTTTTTCAGTACTATGCACTGTTATCTTCTTTTGCAGATGTTTGTTAAAGCTCTCTTTGACTACTATCCTATTGAGGATAAAGCAATTCCTTGTAAAGAAGCCGGACTTGCATTCAGCAAGGGAGATATACTTCAGATCATGAGCCAGGATGATGCAACTTGGTGGCAAGCCAAACACGAAGGTGATGCCAATCCCAGAGCTGGATTGATCCCTTCAAAACAATTCCAAGAGAGGTTAGCTCTAATTCTCCTTCCTTTCTCTCCATCTCACTGGTTCTTTCACCTTTTTTTTCTCTTCCCCCTGCTGTTCTCTTTCTGACCAAGTTTTTCTTCTATTCTGATCTCTTCTTCTTTCACTTTTCTCTCTCTCACTCCATTTTTACATTCCGTCCTTCTCTTTCTCCTTAGCTCCCCCAGCTCTCTATCTTTCTTCTCTCTCCCTATTCCTTGTTCTGCTCTCTTTCTTCTCTTTCCTTCTCTCTCCTTCTCTGTCCCTCCTCATCACCACTTCTCTCTTCCTTTATCTTTTTCTCTCCTCTCTTTCTCCTGATTTCTGTACTTTTCTCTCTCTCTTTCTCTCTCTGCCTGTCTCATTCTCTCCTTTCTGTTGCTTTCTCTATCCATCTCTCCTACCCGCTTTCTTTACTGCCTCTTCTCCCTCTCTGTCCTTGCCTCTTCTTTTTCTCCATCCTTTCTCTTTCTCTTTTTCCTGCTTTCTGTTCTTCTCTCTCATTGTCTTTCTCTGATTCTGTTCACGCATTACACCACATTCTTTACCTTCTCCCCCCTCCTCTCCTTCCTTCCCTTTTGCTTCCTTCCTTCTGCTTCCTCTGTTCTGTATATTTGTCACGTTTTCTCTCTTCCCTTTACGCCATCTGTTGTCTCTGTCTCACCATCACTCTTACCCTTTTCTTTCTCACTCTCTC